ACCCACCACACACAGACAAATACAGCAGCTGCAGTCCCAGGGAGCTTCCCACGCCAGCTCCGTTAAGCTCTCCCTAATTAACAACATCAACCTCTCCCCATCCCTGCCACAGGAACATCCACCTATTAAAAACCCCAAAACCTCAATTAATTGGGAAAAATTGTGATTTAAACATTGCCTTTCAACGCTGTCACCACCCAGCCATCCATTCCCAGGGAGATGAAAGGGAAGAGGGGGTTTATTCCCTGCCTACCGTCATCTCCCTCCTCGTGTGTCAGCTCAGGGAACAACGTGGCCCCAACCCTCGCAGCCTCTGCCCACAGGGGTCTGTCCTCATTTCCAGGAATGGATTCTGCAAGGTTTTCCATGGAAAAAATAAAGTTAGGAGCTGATCCGAGCAGAGCAGCCAAGGAGATGGTAATAATATGGATGATGGAATAGGGCTGTGGAGCTTGTGGAGGGCGAGCTGCGAGAAGGGGGAAAATAATCACAAACAGGGAAAAAACGTGGTGGAAAGGAACTAAAATGAGAAAGACATGAGGAGGGGGATGAGCAGAGACATTGTGGACACTCCACAGCAAACAGACATCCCAAAGATCCCTTGGTTGTTTGGATTTCAGGCACAGGGATGTGCTGGTGCAGCTCTGCACATTGAGACATCACCTGAGTTTGAGCTCTGCCCTGAAAACCCCCAGAATGAGCTACAAACCCTTGGGAAAAAACTGCCTTTGGGACGCTGGCTGAGGGCTGGAATTCTGGGAGAAGCCTCTGATGCAGCAATGACACTGAGGAAATGCAGCTTGTCCGGGAAACGTGTTATCGGTGCCAGGGCACGGACAGCCAGGGGGGGCTGTCCCCACGCCAAAAACGCCACAATACGGGAGAATTCCCGTTTTTCCTGATTCTTTCCCCGTCCCTCGAGTGTGGGTGACAGCTGGGGGAGTTGGGGATGTGTCTGAGCCCCAATCCCTGTCCCCCATGGGGGTCTCTGGGTGTCCTGAGGGGGTGGGGGCTGTTCCCCGTGGGGGGGGCAGGGGTTTGGTCCCCCCATGGCTGGGGGGGTGTCACAGAGGGCACGGACACCCTGGGAAAGGGGGGCTGCGGCCACGAGCCCCCGACCCCCTCACGATGGGCAGGACCCCCTCGCTGCCCTCGCGACAGCCTCATTCCCGTCATGACAGCCCCATTCCCGTCATGACAGCCCCTCATTCCCCTCGCGACAGTCCCATTCCCCCTGTCACGACAGCCCCTCATTCTCCTCACGACAGCCTCGTTCCCCTCGCGACAGCCCCTCGTTCCCCTCACCATAACCACGAGTCCCTCCCCTCACGACAGCCAGGAGTCCCCCGTTTCCCTCACGGCAGCGCCCGGTTGGTCTCACGATAATCAGGGCTCTCCTGCTCCCCTCACAACAGCCAGGAACGCCCCGCTCCCCTCCCGACAGCCCCAGCCCCCGTTCCCCTCATGACAACGCGGAGCTCCCCGTTCCTCCCACCGGCCCCCCACGCCCCTGTCGAGACCTGGCAGAGCCCCATTCCTATCGCAACAGCCCGCCATTCCCCTCCCGACAGCCGGCAGCCCCCCGTCCCGCAGGCCCCGGCAGCAGGACCCCCCCGCAGCCTCCCCTCAGACACCCGCGGGCCGCGCACCGGGGTGACCCCAAACCGCACACCAGCGAGCCGGGCCGCAGCAACCGCCCCCTCTCAAGCCCCCTCTCCAGCTCCTGCACCCCCCCCCCCGGCCCCCGGCGGCCCCCCCGGCCGTACCTGCCATGCCGGGCCCGGCGGGGCCTCGCCCGCGGCCCGCGGCCCTCACCGTGACACCGACCAGACAAAGGGCGCCGCCATCTTGGCGCCGGGCGGAAGCGGCGTCGCCCGCGGTCACGTGCCCTCCCCCCCTTCCCACCGCCCCAGCGGCGCCGCCATGACAGTGCGGGGCGGGAGGGGAAGGGTCGGGGCCGCCTTGTTCAACCCCCGTGTTCATCATTAAATGTGTCCCCATCGGCCGCATCGCACGGCTTGTAGACACCTCCAGCGATGGGGACTCCGCCACCGCCCCGGCCCGCCCGTTCAAGTGCCTGAGCGCCCTTTCCTTGAAAGAGTTTTCCCCCATTTCCAGCCTACACCTCCTCCTGAGGCCATTCCCTCTCCTCCTGTCCCTTGTTCCCTGGGAGCAGAGCCCGACCCCCCCCGGCTCCCCCCTCCTGTCAGGGGGTTGCAGAGCCAGAAGGTGCCCCCTGACCTCCTTTTCTCCAGGCTGAGCCCCCCCAGCTCCCTCAGTTGCTCCTGCTGCTCCAGCCCCTTCCCAGCTCCGTTCCCTTCCCTGCACACGCTCCAGCCCCTCCGTGTCCTCCTTGTCCGGAGGGTCCCAGCGGTGCCCCCGGGGCTGGAGGTGCCCCGGCCGTGCCCAGCACAGGGACGGGCCCTGCCCTGTTCCTGTGCCCCCCTGGGCCGGGCCCAGCCCGGGCCATCGGCCTCTCGCCCCCCGGGCACACCCGGGTCGTGTCCGGCCGCTGCCACCGGCACCCCCGGGGCTTTCCCGGCTTTCCAGCCTGGAGCGTTCCAGGGGTTTGTCCTGACCCAGGTTCAGGACCCGGCACTTGGCCCTGTTGACGCTCCCTCTTGTCCCTGGATCCAGCCTGTCCCGACCCCTCTGCAGAGCTCCTGCCCTCCGGCACATCCACATCCCGGCTTGGTGCCCACTGGGAACTGACTGAGGGTGCCCCTGGATACCCTCATCCAGATCATTTCATAAAGATATTAAACTGCTTTCAAAACAGGGTTTTTTCCCAGCTTTCCTGCCACAAACAAGCCCCAAGTGGGGCGCAGCTGCTGCGGGCTGTGTTCGGCACTGGGATCTAACCCATCCCTTCGCCCTCTCCACATCTCCCCTATCCAAAACCAACCGATTTGAGCAGAAATAATGGGTTTTTTCCATTTCCTTCCTCCTTCCATTGCATCTCCCTGGGCGAGGGCCACTAGATGGCAACCAGTGACCGCAGCAGTGAGTGCTGGGGTGACATTTTGGGATGGAGCAGCCCCGTCCCATCGCTGAGGATCAGCGGCAGTGCATCTCCCGAGCTTTTATAGCCACTAATAACTTTATTCATAACTTTATTAATAACTTGTAACCACCTTCCCTGCGGTGGGGAGTCCCCCTGAGCGAGAGCCAAGCCACCCGAGGAGGGGATGGCAGGAGCAGCCGTGTTTGGGACGCTGCAGGTGTTTAATGGGAGTCACGAGTCATTCTGGGATGAACTGGAACGAGCTGCCCTTGGAGCGGGAGCAGCAACACGAGCTGGGCGCTCTGTGGTTTCTATAAACAGTCCCTCGCCCCGAACTGGCGCCTCAGTGTTGTTTGTACACACAGGGAGACGGAGCCAGGCCCGTGGGGGACATTTCGGGCCCCCAAAAAGAAACCCTTGGGTTTGACAGCTACACCAGGACCATCATCCCGGCCCATGTGGGGCATCCCAAGGCGAGTGGGCGAGGGTGGGCGAGGGGAGAAGGAGGGTTTGGTGCCCTTCCAGGTGGGTCGGCGGCCGAGCAGCTGAGGGAATGGCTCAGAAATAGAGCGGTGGGGAAGAAATGAGTCACCCCGGGCTGGAAATAAACAGGGCAGCGGGCGCCGGAGCGGCTCCTGGTGCGGGATTTTGTCGGGATGGCAGAATACCCCTTCCCGAGACACCCCTCAGGGCTGAACCCACACCCCGGGTTGGGGGTAAAACATGAAGAAAACATGAAACAATGGAGAAGGCAGCAGGCAGACGTTCTCGAATAATTTATCCCAAGCTGTATATACAAAGACAAGCTCCGGCGGAGGGTTGGGAAGGGAACCTGGCTCCCGGCAGGACTCTTGGCACGCTGGATCTTCCCCCTCAACACGCGCCAGCTAAAAATTGCTGGAGCTGGGACTCCCCTCCGGAGTTTCTCCGGGGAGCGATGGGATGCAGCTCAGGACAGGTCTGACCCCACGGCACAGGGAGCGCTCCCATTCCCTACCCCACATCCCACCTCCTTCCCAAATCACCCAAATCATTAACGAGGGAAGGGAGGGGGGGAAAAAGATCCCCCCGACCCCTCAGATCTTGATCTCAGTCCGGAAGGTTTGCTGGACGTGCTCGGAGTGCTTGGCCGGCCGGCGCTGGGCACGGATGGTCAGCGTGCCATTGTCCCCCAGCGAGGACGACACTGACGTGGGGTCCACGTCCTCGGGCAGCTGGCATTTGTGGGTGAAGGTGTTCATGACGGTGCCATCTGCAGCCAGCTGGGGGGAAAAACGGGTGAAAAAGGGGTGGTTTTGGGGTGCAGGCGGGATGGGGGCTCGTTATTCCCTGTGGTCCCCATTAATTAACGGTGAATAAAACCTCGTTGGGGCTGTGGCTGTTAGGGGGAGCTGGGGGGTCCCCGTGTCCACCAATTGAGGATTTTGGGGTCCCCCCGGTGGGGGGGTGAGCAGGGCAGGGAGGGAGCACCCACCTTCTCGGCGTGCACCTCGATCTGGTTGTTGGAGGTGGTGACGACGATGTCCTCGGGGGCGAAGTCGCTGACGTCCACCGTGAACTGGTAAGTGTTCCCCAGAGTCTTCACCGCGCCCGCGCTGCCGGAACGAGCTGCTGGAGAGGTTTTGGGGGGGTCACAGCCGTGGCTTGCTGAGGATCCCCCCCCCCAGACGCCTCCTGGGTGCCTCCAAACTCACCTGGGAACCCCAAGGGCTCGCCGTGGGGCCGGACAAAGCTCCCGAAAAGCTCCATTTCACCTTCACCCGCCGCTTCCCCCCCACCTGCGACCCCCAGCTCCCGCGGGGGAGGAAGAGCAGAAGCCTCTTCCTCGTCCTCCTCCCGGCGAAGGCGACGCCGGATCGGTTATTTCGGGATGTTTCGACTTGACGAGCTTTTTAAAGCCTCGTTAAGGCTCCCGGCCGCCTGCCAGACCTCTCGTAAAACCGGCTAAATTTAGGTCTTGCGCCGGAGATGGTGGAAATTTTTCCCCGCTCCGTCCCCCCCACACCTCAACGCCGTGGAATGCGGTGCCTATTATTAAGGAATAATCGGGATAATTAATTAAAACACTTATTAAATCCTCCCCGCCGCGGGATGTACGCGGGGATTGGGAGCTCAGGGCTGGTGGAGGGAGGGGAAAACCCGGCTCGCTCCGGCCCCAGCGGGTCCGTCGGCTTCGTCAAGGTCGTTTTTAATGAGCTCGTTTGCAACCTCAGTCCGACAGCGGAGGCCGAGGTGGGAGGACGGGTGAGGGGGTGACGAAAAGAAAAGGGGTGCTGTCCCCGAAAAGGTCCCTGGGATGGAGCACCCCGTCCCTGGGGGGCTCTGGGGGCAGAAGGAGGAGGAGGAGCAGGAGAGGGTGCTGGTGTCGAAGCACATGTGGAGACCCTGCCCCACGGCCCGGAGAAGGCTCCGAGGTGAGACCCCCACCCAGAAAACTGAGATTTTTTTGGGGGGGTGGATGTTTTGGGGGGGGTCAGCACCGTGTTTTCCCCTCCCACAGTGTGCTTGGAGTGGGTGAAGCGGCAGCTTTTCCGTGTCGGGGAGGATTGGTACTTCCTCTTCATCCTGGGGGTCCTCATGGCCACCATCAGCTTCATGATGGACCACCTCGTCTCCAGGGTCTACGCAGGTGAATGAGGGGCTCCATGAGGGGCTTCACCTGGCGTTTGAGGGTTCTCTGAGGATATAGGGGGGGTCTTTGGGGTGGGGTGTGTTTCCCCTGCTGACACTTCTTCTCCAGCCCACCGCTGGCTCTACCAAGAGGTTGGGGACATCGGGGTGCTCAAGTACCTCTCGTGGACCCTGTACCCCACGGCTCTGGCCACCTTCTCCAGTGGCTTCTCCCAGAGCATCACCCCGCACTCTGCAGGTAAGCCAGCTGCACCCCGACCTCCCCGGCTCCCCAAAGCTCCCCCTTGGTAATCAGGAGGACCCCTCAAATTTGGATGCTGCCCTCTCCCCACTCCAGGCTCCGGCATCCCGGAGCTGAAGACCATCCTGATGGGTGTGGTGCTGGAGGACTACCTGGCCATCCAGAACTTCGGAGCCAGGGTGGTGGGGCTGACCTGCACCCTCATGTGTGGCAGCAGCCTTTTCCTTGGGAAAGTGGTGAGGGATCCCCCCCGACCCCCAAAATCGCCGGTGGTGGTGGTTGGTGCCGCGCTGGGGGGACGCTCAGCGCCGCGTCCCCCCCTTGGCACCAGGGTCCCTACGTCCACCTCTCCGCCGTGGCTGCGGCCTACCTGGGGAAGATGAGGACCTCAGTCACGAGGGAGTATGAGGTGGGGGTGCCAGCCCCTAAAAAACTAGGGGGGGGAATTTATTTTAACCCCCCCAAAAAATCGGGGTTGTGCCTAAACCTCCCCCCCCCGACCCACAGAACAAGTTCAAGCAGCGCGAGATGCTGGTGGCAGCACAGGCCGTCGGGGTGGCCACGGTCTTTGGGGCGCCCGTCAGCGGTGAGGATCCCCCCCCAGTCCCACGCTGGGGACCCCTGAACCTCGCCCTGACCCCCCTCTCTGCTTTCCCAGGGGTTCTTTTCAGCATCGAGGTGATGTCCCCCCACTTTGCCGTGCGCGATTACTGGCGCGGCTTCTTCGCCGCCACCTGCGGCGCCTTCATGTTCCGCCTCCTCGCCGTCCTCAGCAGCGAGCAAGGCAAGGCAGGGCGGGCAGGATGGGCCCCCTTAACCCCCCCGAAAGCATTTTTGGGGTGCCCACCCTCAAACCCACCCGCTCGTTCCTCTCCCCCCTCCCAGAAACCATCGTGGCTCTTTTTAAGGTCGACCTCACGATTCATTTCCCCTTCGACCTCCTGGAGACCTTCTTCTTTGTGATTTTGGGGTACGGAGGGGGCGTTTGGGGGGTTGCCCTTGCCCTGCCCGTGCCCTGCCTGCAGCCCTGCCTGCCCTCTCCTCGCAGGGTGGTGTGTGGGCTCGTGGCCTGTGCCTACGTCTTCTGCCAGCGCTGGGCGATGGTGGCTGTCAAGAGGAACTGGCTGACAGCCAAGCTGCTGGCGACCGAGTCTGTACTGGGCGTCCGTCCATCCGTCTGTCTGCACCCTGTGTGTCCGTGTGTCTGTCCCATGCACTTTGTGTCCCCCCTCTGTGTCCCCTGTGCATCTGACCCGTGTGTCCCGAGTGTCCCTTT